CAGACCAGTAAGATAATGTTAACACTTCTAATCTAATTATTCACCTAATGGTTGCTTTTAAAATAATATTGTAATCTGTACCCTGAGAAGTGAGAGTCATCATGTAACTACACTTAGAGTTGGAACTTTGGGCTCAGATGAACATAACCCAAAAGGTGTGTGCTCTTAGTGCCTTAGCCTTACAACCACAACAAAATAAAAATAAAAAACTTAAAGACACCATTAGTCATAACACGAAAATGCTAAGGTCTACATATGCAGTGCTATGCAAATTAGTCTAGTTAATGGAGCATTAACACTCAGTTTTACCAGCAATATTCATCCTTGACCCTATGTGGGAAAGTAGGGGTGTATTAAAATTAAATGGTAAGACACTGTTAGAATAGTACAGTGTACTACATTACACTAATATGTTTTAATGTTTAAAACTTTATTCTGAATGTTGCATTATTCTCAAGCTATTGTTTTAGCAGTAAGGTTTAGTACACCTACCCTTTACATTTTAAAATATCCCACTTTACTGGCCATAGGCCTTTTGACACTTAATCAATCCCCACTCCAACAATTGTAAATTGCTGGAGTAAATTCATCTTAAAGCAAGTGTATTCTACAACTTGCGTCTTTCTCTAGAGCAGCTACATCAGAAAACATTTGCTGCCTTTGGACAGGGAATGTATGCATTAATATTCAACTGCATCAGCCTGAAATGGAAACAGAAGAAAAAGAGAGGGATGATTCAAAGATTGAAAGGCAATTCACTCCCTTTCCTAACTCTTCAGAGGACAGCATTTGCTAAAAACTAGGGTTCCAACAACAGAGAGCTCATGCCAAAGCTCAGTGGTACACATTACATTCCTCTAAGGGGCCTCTCCCATGGCACAATTTAATGGCCAACTTGGCCTTTACAGCCAGCTCACAGATGTCCCAATAGCTTAGAACATGGGCATCCATGCACATGCACAAACGCCCTCCCCTGGCACGTTCTACTTTTTCTGGGTGACAGTATTAATATAGGCAAGACTGGCTTGCTCGTTGATATTAGTGTGTACCAATGCGTCTGTCGGCATGGAAACAAATATGTTTCGCATGGTATGATGAGTGGATCTGCAAGCTGAATGGCTGCAGGCCAGAACTCCTGATTGATATTTTATTACACAGCACAGCCAAAAAGTTAGGAATACAGTGTTGAGGGAATATGTATTTTGAAAGTCTCCACAGAGTGAGTAAACTAATATTTCAGCAATAACATATATTTGATGAACTTCTGCTAAGTAAGGAACTGCCTCTCTCTCTTTACCATATATTATTCATTCATCCATGCAGGGCTATATATAATTACTATTAAGCTTCAAATAAAACTGAAAAATCCTCAAGAGTAAAAGTTGCTGTTAGGGGAAACAAGGTATGGCAGAATTCACGGATGATGTATGGAACCAAGGTATATTTTCTGCACTGTATTCCTGCACTAGGTACAGTAGGGTTACTACACGAGCCGTCCTAAAGTTTGGCAGCTACTGAGTCCAGATGGCAGGAATCTGGAGCACTGGGCAGGAGGAATGAAGCATTACATACAGTAGTAGGGAGAAAGGAGGATGAAAGGGGAGAAAATAGAGTGGAAGTGGATGGAAGGGGTTAGAAAAATCTGGCACAGCTTAAGCCCAGTTAAGAAAAACTGTTGTAGGGAGGCAATTATCTATCTCTGCCCCCCTAATCTACATGATTTATGGGGAATTACTAATTCTTCAAACGCAAGCGTCCAATTTCTTAATTTCAGCTACAGGAGAAGCTTCAGCTAAGCCAGTCAACAAAATCAGGAAAAACAAAACTCAATGAGGGCCAGAAAATCAACAAGAAACACAGAAAATGTAAGATGGGAGACCAGCAAGTGATGAAAAAAAAAAAGGATAAAGGTGGCAAGGGATTAAAGTGACAAATAGTCATTATGTGGCCCTGAAGCTCTTGTCTCTAATGGGAGATCTGGGAGATTGAAACCTTGGTCAAAGTTCCTGCGGTCACTCCGTCTGGCTAAACACATTTGGTCCTGTCATAACAACCAACTCAAAGATGGACATTTTGTTTATGATATAAAAAAGAACAGCAAAATCCCCCTTCTATCAAGTAGATGGGTTCAAAGTGAGAGAAAAAAAAAGACAAGTTGAACCTCTGACCCCAAATTCCTGCCCCTTGGAAACATGGTCGTTGTTGCAACATTTTTAAAAATAGAATAATATTAAACCTCTGCAACAAACTGGCAAACATTATTTGGTTTAATCACTTTAATAACCTTGGTCAAAGTTTGTACAGTCACTCAGAAAACAAATTTAACATAGGTCATTGTCATAAATAATATAATAAATTAATTTGGGTATCTCTGGAGTGATTCATTTATAGTTAAAATGTGTGTAAAGCAGGTAACATCTCCGCCTATAATTCCCTATAAGTTAAAGAAATACTAGTTATATCATTACATGTCTATTCTTGTAAAAATAGAGATTATGATTTGGATTTGTAAATATTACATTACATATTATATTTTTCATTATCAGGGATGTCTTATGATGGCAAAAACTGTGATTCTTTAAAATAAAGAAGGTTGTACATCCTTGCTCTCTACGGTATCAATAGCTGCAAAAACTGAATGCATGTTGTGGATTATTAACTTTGCTAGTTTTAAGCTTTTGGTAAAGTGAGAATAAATGAATATTCGTCTAGTTAAAAGCATGATCAAATGCAATTATTATTATTATTTTTTTGTTGTTGTTGTTTTTTGGACATTAATTGCTGCAGAAAAAAGTAATAATGTGCTGAAGAAGCCATCAGATAAAAGGCAAGCTTTTTATTTTTGAGGTGTATTTTAACTTGCTTTTCAAATACAGGTTTTAAAAAAACTAAGTGATGTAATTTTTTAGCCATTCAGTTTAATGTAAAATAATAAAAAGATGTTAAAACATGTTCTAAATACTTTTTTTTACTGCTTTTATTATGATGAGAATAAAAAAAAGAAAAATTGGTTCTTAGTCTTGTTTGCCTATACTCATAACAAGCAATCTTTAAAATGAATCTAAAAACACAAAATAAACCTTATTACAAAATATTGTGACGTAGTTCTCTAGTTAGTTCTCTAACTCTCTCGGTACTTCCTTTATAATAAGTCCCTCCTTTTCTTAACACCTGACAATTTTCAACTAACACGTACCTCAAGAGAGGTTTCTAAAACCGTTTATGCTCCTTTGACTTAATAATCACAGATTGGTAGATTTAAATGTGCTACTTGTTAGCTTCCAACTGGATATTTCCCAATAATGGCAGGTCATATGAAGATTGAAAGACTGCTGTCTCTAAAAAAAGAAATAAAAAAAAATAACTGTGTGGATTTCTTTATGTGATCTAATAATATGCTTAAATATGCTATAAAAACTAAGATAAAGAATCTTATCCTAAAATTCTTAATTGGTAAAGCTCATATACTGATAGAAGGCAAACAACTAAACTTAGACATTATAATATTAGTTTAAGGTTGTCCAAATCCTGTTCCTGCGCAATTAGTGTTAAGGTAAAGCCCTAAACTATCAACAAATTATCTTTAATATATCTTTATATCTTTATATCTTTAATATATCTTAACAGGAAACTGGCCATCTACTGAAGTTGAGACAGATAAAGAAAACTGTTTGTGTTAGTTTATGAAACACAATGGCATTTTGCCATCAGTAATGAAAAATGTGAGGACAACTGCAAAGAAAGTTCAGAGCTTACTGGATCTAGTCTAAACTGCCAAATAAAGGTCAGTCTACAACATATGAAAGGCAGATTGAAATCAGGTCTCGTGTATAGAATTGAGGTTTTGTGTATAGAAGAACCAACAGCTGTATAAGAGAAAAGAACGGGCAAAATGAGAAAATGATATCAGGGGAATTCTACATTTAAAAAGATTGAAACAATGCAAAACTGGTGGAAAGCAATTTTTTTTGACTTTTACATCATTTTAACCACCAAGTAACACTGATGCTTTAAAAATCCTGAGGAAATGATGCCATCCCTCCACATATACAACCGCCTGGAAGAGCAACAGTAGCTTAAATTACACAGTTTTCTATTTCAAAATAATTGATTGAATTAGATTTCAGTATAGTCAATAGTCAAGATTTGTACAAATGTTATCATGAAAATATAGAATGTAACTATGAACTCATAGCAGGTAATTGTAGCTTGGTCAAGTTTCAAATTTGGAACCTGGAAATTCCACAGACTTTAAAAGAAAACGTAGAGACAGACAGACAGACAGATGTGCACTTAGTCAGATGAAAAGGCTGATGGATGGAGGTATGGCTTAATGGCTGGGGTGATGAATTAACGTCGCAGATGATCGGACAGATGAACCATTGGACAAACTGAGGCCTCACTGCACAGACTGCAACATGATTGGGTGATGGACAGGTTGACAGACATGAATGTGGGTGGATGGACTGGAAGAAAGTATCAAGTAACTGATGGGTTCATGTTCAAATGGGAGGATGAAGAGATGGATGTTTAAACCAACTTAAAAGTCATTAAGTTAAGGCAAATTAGATTTTGAAAAAATATATATTTTACTCAGAGGAATCAATTCAGTCTTTATAAAAAAAAACATCTAAAACCCTGCTTTCTTTAAAGAAAGATTTTGCAAAGTTTTTACTTTTCAACACTCTGTAGGGACCCTGTACTGAACGGAAAACAATTGGGGGGCATCACCTCAGTCAGACTACAGATACATCAGAAAGTATGGAGGGCCTACTGTACAAACACTAATGTTTTAGGAAATAACATGACTGTTCAGCAGATAGTCTATCAAATTTTGTATTTTAAGAAAGAACTGTTCAAATGCTAGAACTTGTATATACTAGGTAGAGCTCTCACTATCTATCTGAAAGGAAGAAAAGCTTGAGGGTGAAGACTAAACAGAGCAGCGAAATCAACTGATTAAATATGTAAAAGTTCAATCTACAATGATATTTTCTTACCTGTAACTTGAAAGGTGCATTTGCCTGCTCCAGCCTCATTGATGACGTTGCATGTGTACTCGCCCCAGCCTTCACGATTCAGGCTGCGGATCGTGTACTCCGTCTCATCTTTGTGTGGGTCAAACGCCCCGGCATGGAGCAGCCGGTTTGAAAGCAGCCACTCAAACCGCAACACTCGAGAGGGATGGGCTCGCAGCACTCTGCAGGTCATCACTACTGGCCTCCCCAAACCCTGACGGACCTCCATGTGAACAGGCTCCACTGTAGGAGGGTCTAAATGGTAGAAAAAAAAAAAAAATCAGCGAGAAAAACACTGAATAAAGGAGAGGTATGAGTGGGTGGGAGCAAGGAAGACCTTATATTGATTTCTTGTTTGTTTTTTTTGTTTTTCTTCCTGTTCTTTCAGCAGAGTCTACAATGGTAGTTGTGAATCTCTGCAGCTTCTTCAAAGTAAGCCTGGAGCTCTTGACTGTGTCATTAATTAATGGTCTCCTTGCAGTTAAGATGGACGGTCACAACTTGGAAGAATTGCACTTATGCAAATTATGTTCATTTTCATATGATGAGAGCTCTATTAAAAACAAATGCACATTTCACTCTCTAAAATTAAATCTGTAGAAGATAAAAAATATGCAGTTTCAAATCCCTGTGAAAAAACATTAAAAATTGTGTTGAAACAGTTATACATTCAATGCAATATAAGACATCTGAAATAGAAGATGAAATGCTGAAGCACATTCAGATATCAGGAAGCAGAAAATGGGGTAACACTGAGCACAGTGTAAATGAACTGTAGACCATGTTCACTGGAAAACATTACATTTCAGAAACAGATGAAAATGAAAACAATTGCAGGAGGAGCGGCAGGTCTGCGTTAAAATCAATTTGCACAAAAACAAAGAACAATGTTCAAAATAGAAATCATTTTCGCTTCGCAGAAAACTTGTAACCGGATGATGAAGTGCACCTCGGGCTTTGAAAATGGAAAATTAATAACTTATTTGAGTATCTGACAGCCTTCACCTCTTTCCACACAGACAACCTGCTGGTGAATTATTCAACCAGTTGAATGGCCTTGATGAGACCCCGGCTAAGTTTGGGGAAACTTTTAATATGTTTCACGCATACATTTCAGTGCCTTTACTTTGCATGAGATATTGTGTATGGTGGAGAGTGTGTAGATTAACTGTATTTAAGAGCTTGTGTGTGCAAGCAGTGGAACGGTTATGAATAATTCCCCCATTTTAGGCATCTTTACTGTTGACTGGCTCCGGTGGAAACTTGACAAAAGTCACGTTGGAGCTCGATAAACAACAGTGAATGAACACGGAGGAGACGCGACAGAATGACACAGAACCCCTTGATTGCCTGAGATTTGCATAATTTCTGACAGAGTACAGGAGCGATGCCAGCTTTATAAAAGGCTGGGGATGCAATTTTTTCTGAATGTAATCTGTTACAGATCACTGATTACCTGATTGAAACTGTTATCTGCAACATAATCTTCTACATTATTCACAGTCAGTAATATAATCTGTTTACTGAGCCTTCCAAATTTGATAGGATATGCAGCTATGAGCAAAGTAAGGAAATATACAGCATATAATTTGATAACACTATTAATGTTATTATTCCTATCCCTAAGCAGAAATATAAAATAGGAAATGTTGCAGCCATTATTAGGAATTTTATGTTGGATTTGTTTGCACTATTTTAGCAACAGTTGCTTATTTTATTTGAAAATAAATAATTGAAGGTCACCCCTGGCAGTAGAGAAGGATGAATCCACAAGGCCAGAGAACTGCACAGGGATATGTGGGGTGTGAACAATATGCAGAATGCAAAATAAAAACTTGACACGCAGAAACACTACATAGTAGGGGATTTTATCCTTGCCCTCAATGCTAATTATCCTTCAAGATGCAACATCCTACAGTTCACTGAGGCACCGCTGTGATTAATGACACGCCATTAGATCATATCATGACTGGCCGAAATGGGAAAATGATAAATCATAACAGTGGGGGTCAAAGTGAAAGTAAACACAAACCTTTTGAAGGGTTTGGACTGAGGAGGAAAAAATGAACAAAAAAACATTGACTTTTTCGTCTACATATCCTGTTCCAAGGTGGTAGGTAGAGACATTTGTTTATATCTCCACTTAGTGTAGGAGCAATCAGTTCTTTCTAAAGAACATCGGCTGGAATTTTACCATAATCCACAGGCCTATCTCAAATGTGAAAAAGGGCATCTGGAAGTTTTCTTATCACATCAATATTGTAGGATTCTGTGCAGAATAACAGCTAGCTCCACAGCTTTTGTGAATGGCACTGGATCAAATTGCAATAAGTGCATTCCCATTCACTTGGTATCACAAATAATGAAAAAAGGGGGTAAATCTCTTTATATAATAAAAAAAACGTAACTTAAACAAGGGAACAAGCCTCATCGCTCTCCTGTGCATTTCCCGTAAAAGAGTTGCAGAGGTAACATAAGCAGAACGGAGTAAGAAGGTCCTGTGTTATATTCCCTGAGCAGTGCTCACAGTGTTTAATGTAGCAGCCACTGTGATTTCGGAGTTGCTGTAGTCCACAGGCTGGGGAAAAGCTGGAGTACCTACTGAATATAATCTGTCATCAGTCATTGGTGGACAGCTCTACGCTGATGACGGGGGAAAACAACATTTATGGAGCACAGGCCTTTTTTTCTTACAGTTCATATAGACTTCTATGGTGGTCTAAATAAAGATATGCATGTACTGCAATGTACAACTGTTTCTTAGGAGTTGAGGATGGCATTATTAATTTGTGTGCACCTGTATTTCCAGAAGGCAGCTTAAACATTTAAAAGGTGGGAGTTTAGATCTTTGCCCTCAACACTAATTAACTTTTAAAAATTTAAAATACTCTCTCTGAACCCTCACTGAAGTCTCAACTAATTTATCTTAGGAGCACAAAGAGAACTCATGTGGGTAAGCCTGCAAGAAAAGATTATGCTGAAATACAGCAATGTTAAAATGCACATTTTTGTAACAAACAACAGATACCATAACAAGCTATTACCACAGTGGATCAACTATATAAACTGATTAAGTCTGAAAAAAATTGTAATTGTTGAAGTTCAAATGGAGATGACAATCACTACCTGACAATTTTTTTTTACTATCTAATGTTTTTGTGTACCAATAAATTATGTGAAACTACTCATTAGTTCCTGATTAGTTTCACTGTTTCCCAGGTAACTAAGAAGTACTCCCCAAATATGGCCAGGCTAGGTGTTCCCCAGTAAATACTAGTTAACTACCCATTAGTTCCTTACTAGTTCTCTAGGCATTCTCTAGTAGTTAATCAATTTTGGGTAACTTATTGTTTCCAAGGTGGGTTTTTAAAAATAAACTGTGCCTTTTCTGTTGAAGTCATTTTTAAGTTCCTGTGTTTTAGTTGAATGTCATATGCTGTAAATGAAATCAAATCCATTTTTGGCTACGAATACCTGACATTTTTAGATTTAAGGTGCTTGCTATTGATATGTGCTTTTATTGTTTTATCCACCTTAACATAACCACGTTCCAGATAAAAGATGCAAGCCCACACCAATTGTGTCATCACAGCTATGTTTCACTCAAGGTACAGTAAAGTGTTTTTTTTTTTTTTTGTTTTACAAAAGTCATAACTTAGCTTTTGTTCAACTATAGCCTTTAATTGTGCTTGAGTAGTCAAGTTTTCTTTCATGGGAACAAATTTCATTTTCACAAGGTTTTAAGATTTTTTTTTCCTTTTTTTATCTCCCTCTTGCAACCCTATTGAAAGTAAAGCTGAATTTCCTTCAGCTTTACTTTCAAGCCTTTTACAAAATTCTTTTCCAGTTTACATTTTCTCTTCTCATCAATTTTTGGATAAACATTTGATGTTGCCTAATATTGTTCTAATCATTAATGTCTCTTTTCATTGTGCCATTGTACGTAATTATGTAGGTTATTTACTAATTACCAGCTTTGTCTGATGAATGGAACAGCAAGCACGAAAGTTGCCATATTGCGTTTGACTGCATTACTATACAAACATATCCTAATTACCAAAGCGTGCAAAATCCAGGGAGTATAATACATTTATAACCACTAACAATCCCATTGCATTTTGTCAAACCTGAGATAGATTGTAGGGGTAGCTTTTGCCTCTATATTTAAATATTTGAAAACACAAAAGTTTATTAATAGCATCTTCATTTATACGCATTTCTATGACAATTTTAGCAAGAAGTATTGTATCCATGAAATGTTTAGAATCCTATTTCAGGGAATGGTTTAGAGATCACCAACCTATGTTGACATTTGTCATAGTATTGTATGTGGACAAAAATGTGGGTTTTGTCAAAAACCAAAAAATTTTCATTTAACCAGAATTTATATTTAAATATATTTTTCTGTTTTTACAGTGAAAGCTTATTGAACCTTGGCAACCTCCCGACAATCTATACATTTAGCTTAAGGGATGCAACTCTGTTCAGAGCTGTTTATATTATAAAATCCTTGCATTCTATAGTGTTTGGTATTTTTTCCAAAGACTTTTTTTAAGACACCAAATCAATTTGATTTAAAACAAACAGTTGTTTCCCCTAAAGGATCAGTGGATGGCAGTGATAACAAAAGCAGTTTGAGAAGAAAAAATGCACCTTATAAATAAATCCCCGAGCAATTTAAGACAACAAGAGCTTTCAGCAACAATATTCACTCTACGCTATCAAGAATAAAAGCACCAAGTGGAGTTTGCTAATTGTCCCTGAAATAGACCCCGTGGCTCCTTTCTTTTTATTGCACATGAAAGCCAACAGTAACAGTAAGACTGAAACAGTAAAAGGCTAGTAACAAAATGCTCCCTGATTACAGAGAATGAATTACACCTCAAATAAATACATTTCTTCTGTTACATTACTGTTACCTCTGACAATCATAATACTTGCAATATATGGTTAATAATAATTATTTAAGTAATTCGTTTTAGCTGACTCTACAGGCATATTTATTTTCAACTTCTCATGGGAACCAAAGTTTATTTTACAGGCAGCAAATATCGTCTGGAAAACAAGGTGCTGAACTTCTTACTTAGTGCAGAAAAAGTTCTGTTCGGTATACCAGACAAAAATCCAACTAAAGGGAGTACATGGTAACTGTTCAATACAGTGCATTTGGGAGTTTTTGACTGCACTGCCCTTTATCCATATTTAGTTACACAAAAGCCTAATTCCAAATGATATCAAATCTATTTTCTTTAAAG